AGAGTGTTCCCGTCGCATAGTTAGTCTCCGCAGCTTCCGCCAGGGGCGCCGCAGTCGCGCCACAAAGCTTCAGAAGAATTTTATTCTACTTTAACTTCGTACCAATTATTTACTATGCTGCGATGCGCATTGATTCTCTTTGTTTAGTATGCTAATGACGCACACATTTTATTATAAAAACTAACATATTTCCAGTAAATTTTTAAAACAAAGCCATTTAAAAGAGGAAAATTGGAAATTTAAACTAAGTCAGACATGAATAAGTTACAGACTTTTAACATGAACCCAAGTTAGATAGGCCAGGTAGGGTTTTCATTTTCTATTGTTAAACATATGTTTTAGATTCAATCTTCCCGCCATTACCTACTAAAAACATAGGTGTAGGTGTTGTTACTCCTCATTTTAACAAAACTAAAAATTTCAACAAATATTTAGCTTGTCTGTCGTACTTACCCCTACTTACGCTAACCTAAATAAAAATACCATATTCCAATAAAAAACTACACTTACGTACAATATCGACATAAATATTCCCGCATAACCGCAACACTATAGCGCAAATCGCTCGCTTGTATAAACTAAGAATCCCGTTTTTCCTGTGATTGAGGAGCCTCGGATTGAGGTGGGATTGAGCTGGGATTTACCGCGGGAATCAAGTCGGCAAGAAAATGTTTTCGTTCTGCATAGTGCAGTAAGTTTCCCGGGAAATACCGGGAAACGGATTTACAATTGACAGAATTGAAATTGTTTATTATTATCCCCTTCGTGTGTCGTCTTTGTGATATGTATGTAAAACAGTCTGCTTCTTGTAAAACTAGTTTGTATATATTATATTTTATTTATGCGTTGCTTTTGTGTTGATAGGTTATTAAAAGACTATGGAGTTTTATTTATGTCGAACATGTTTTTACGACATGGCGTTCAAAACTTGCGTTTTTGTTTCGAAGTGATAGATGAATGCTCGTTTATGCCTGCTGCTTCTCATGCTGCTTCTCAGCTAGACAAATTAACTTTTTTTTTTGTAGTAAATAGTAATAATACTATTAGCTACTACCTAAGAGGAAACTATTGGCTCCCCTTTTGTCACATGGGGTTTATAGTAAAACTGTGTGCCTACCCCGTTGGGCGAGTGGTCGCAAGTACGACTGCCGGGCAAGGGGTCTCGGTTTCGATTCCCATGTCGAGCAAAGTATTACTGTGTTTTTAAAAAAATTCTCAGTAGTAGCACGGAGTCTGGAATTGTGCCCGGTATATGGCAATAGGCTCACCCCTATTACATGGGACTCATAACATAAATTGTGAAAAGTGGGTATTACATTGTACAGTGGCATAATGTGCACCTCTGCCTACCCCTTCGGGAATAAAAGGCGTGATGTTATGTATGTGTTATAATAAAAAGAATTCAATGGCATGACTAACAAAACGGTGTTATGATCTTGTGACACTTCCAGTTTACAAAACCATATAAGAGACCTACTATACACACATAATATCTTCTTCAAACCAAGGATAACGTTCAAATAGTACTATTTCCTCGCTTTTTGATAACGATCGAATGAAAAGAGTACCTCTGTTACTATGAACATCAATTTGCTTTTGGCAACCAGGTACAAGGGGCTTCGCAAAGCGAGCAAATACCACAAATCCTGGGGGCTTAGATAAGAGTAACCTTACAGTATTGCAGTTCAGGCAATATAAGATACTTAACTTGCTAGTAGAAATGTCGAAGGCTCGGCCATTGTGGGTATGGAATCGATTTTGGTTATATTTCGGAATGTTACGGCAAAAACGTTGAGATATTAATTTTTTTTAGTTCTATTTATTTTTTTATTATTGGATTGTGTTTTCTTAGCAAAGCTACAGGCAGAGGTGTACTCATCGTGTCGTGAATAAATCCAAGTCAAAATAGATCTGGATAGTTAGTGATTAGTATCATGTCGTTTAAAATGAATGCCTATATCATGGTCTGGGTTTATGGAGGTATTTGCTTTATCAGATGTTCTAAATAATAACATTACCAACAAGATTTCATGAAGCCTTATAAGTAGAGAATGCATAATTTATAGTTTTGGTAATAATAATAGATGTAGTTAATTATAGTGTGTAACTAGGTACCCTCTTTACTTTATAAAAAATGACTAGATGTATTATAATAAAAAAAAATTGTATGACAAGGGCACGGACCTCGAGTCTGTGGAGAATTAATCTGTAATATTATAAAAACAATAAAAAGATAATAACATTATTGGTTTGGGAGCAGTAGTGGTCGAGTGGTAACGGCCGTGACTTACGAGTTGTAAGTCGCGGGTTCGAACCCAGCCAGGCGCATTACTTTGTGTAATTTATTTCATCACCACTGCTCTCAAAACGGTGAAGGAAAACATCGTGAGGAAACCGGCATGTCCTAGAACCAAAAATTCGAAGACATGTGACATCCACCAAACCGCACTGGGCCCGCGTGGTGGATTATGGCCCAAGCCCTCTCCTAGAGAGGAGGCTGTGTCCCAACAGTGGGAACATTAGAAGGCTGATGACGAACATTATTGGTTTATCACAGTGCAGTCCAGCCTTTACAGACACTCACATGACCCAGTTTAACACTCAACATTCAGATTTCTGAAGCCAACCTCAAACGTGTCTTGAAAACTTATCTTGGTACACAAGTACAATACCGCGGAAAACTGCACACAAATAAAAGAAGATAACTTGAGATAAACGCAGGCAGAGTTTTAAGATGCACTAAACATTGTGACATTTACATTGAGTCACACAGTAAAGTTAGTGCGGCGAACTCACAATTAACAATGCAAATTTTACCAAGCGCGAAAGCTGCTCTGAATTTCATAGGAGAATACATATGGTAATTGGATTTGAACATGGTAAAAACGTCAGAGCGCAAGCCTTGAGACTGGTTACGATCTTTGAAGGCGTACTGAGTTTATTGTTAGTTTTCAGCACTTGTTGTGACGGTGAAACTACAAGACTTTTTTTAAGGGGGGAAACTCATCGAATGACTCGGGAGGAGGAGAGCCTGGGTGAGGCGGGAGAGAATGTCACTCTTACTGACTAAAAACCACCCGTTCCTTCTCCTGCACGTCGAGCCGGAGACCGGTAACCCGTTAGGTTCTGCGCGACAAATCTACAAGACTTGCAGGATAAATATGTGAACCACCAAAAACATATTGCCTGTGTATGTACTGAACACACTGAAGTATAATTTTCTAAATCTGTCAAATTAATTTGTAGAAAAACTTATTTCTAAGTTCATTGTGATAACTCAAATCGATGAGGCTATTAAATAACCAAACAATAAAACGCATTTACACATCGATAAAATTATTTTTATTTAGGTATCACGCTAAAATACACTTTATTACTAAACCTTTACGGTTGCAAAAACATCGCAACCAACTGTGCTACGTTCAGTGATAATCATGGAATAGAAAAAAAGGCGGACACAGTCTCGTGGTTACTATAGACTTTTTTTTATGGCATAAGCCGGTAAACGAGCAGACGAATCACCTATGGTAAGCAATCGCCGTCGCCCATGGACACCTGGGACATCAGAGGCGTTACAAGTGCGTTACCGGCCTTTTGGGGGTTAGGAGTTTGAGGATCGTTGGGGATTCAGGAATTGGGGGTATTGGGGAAGGGGAGGGTAATTGGGCGTCCGGTAACCTCACTCACACGACGAAATACAACGCAAGCGTTGCTTCATGTCGGTTTTCTGTGAGGCCGTGGCTCTCCCACACTTATAGCATTAGCATGAAGGATATCAGTTCTGTCATTTTCTTAAGTCTGGTAACGTAGTTACCCACTACGCATGCATCCATGAATAACCTACTGACAATTTGGTGCTTTAATCGTTTCTAAGTGATTCTATGTCCGCCTGTTTCCAACGTTTTTTTTTTAATTTCAGTTGTAGCACGGAGTCTGGAATTGAGCTCGGTATATGACGATATGCTTACGTAAGACTAATAATATAAATAGTGAAAAGTGAATGTTACATTGTATAGTGACATTAATTGCCGCAATGTGCACCTTTGCAAAGGGTTTACCCTTGGCGAATAAAAAGGCGTAATGATATGTTGAAAAAATTTCAACGTCTTACAATGCCTCCTACGTCCTTTCAACGGTAATGAAGTCCATTTCTTTATTAATACTCAATTATTTTGATTCCGAACAAAAGGCACACGTGCCATAATTAACTAGACATAATGAAAGCCTTGTGTTTCTTCCATTAAAGGTTTATTTATAACATAACATAACATCACGCCTTTTTATCCCCGAAGGGGTAGGCAGAGGTGCACATTACGACACTTAATGCCACTGTACAATGTAACACCCACTATTCACTATTTATGTCATGAGTCCCATGTAATAGGGGGTGAGCCTATTGCCATATACCGGGCACAATTCCAGACTCCGTGCTACCACTGAGATTTTTGAAAAATCCCAGTAATACTTTGCCCGACCCGGGAATCGAACTCGGCCAACGAGGCAGTCTATTTATAGTTTATTTATAATCTATATCTATATAATCTTTATCTGGTGGTAAACTATGATGTGGCCAACGGTGGAGCACGCCTACCTATGAGCAACCTATTCACTCGGGACTTGAAGACACCCAAGTTATATTTTGGGCAAAAGCTACATTCAATGTCTCAATCATTCGCACCAGTCAAAGTTTAGGGAGATTTATTTAATAGGGAATCCTTAAAATGTCATAATAAATATTTGTCAACCTAAACTATACCTAAAAATTGATAATATGTAACAATTAATTTTATACAACTCCATTTAATCCATACCAATCTTTTTATGTAACCAGATTGAGCGAATAAAAATTTCAATTGACATAGAGGTAAATAAAAAAAACATGTAGAGAAACCAGCCAGCTCATAAAAGGAACATAATAAAAATAAATTCAAAAGTAAAAATATTTTCAATAAAAATAAACAATAAATATTTAATTCGTTGTATATTTATTGCAATTGCTGTGTAGTCGGCCGTTGTGAATGTGTTCTGCGTTGAAAAAATGATATCAGTTTTATTGTGGACTTTGTGTTTGCATGTTTATAATGTACAAAGGGTAGAAACAGTTAGGATATTCAGAAATTTAATAGCAACTGAACAGAAATCGTTCACAAGATTCCAAGCAACTGGTAAAAATGTTTTCGATTTTTTTTGCGTAGGAATCTTTCCTATTTTGCTTCGGGTTTTTAAATATCATTGAATATCGTATTTTGGCCAATGACCTTGAAGTTAAGTCCACAACCAATACAACAATTATTTTTACAAACTAAATAGGTTATTACATTTCCTGTCTCAGGTCTACTGGAAAGAATTCCAATAGGAATAAATAGTACCTTTGTACTTGAAATTTATATGTGTTATCCTCTGTGTTGTTTGTGTGTACATGTACACAATTATTAAATGAATAGTGAGATGAGGACACTACTTCTAGGCTATATTGTAATGTTCAATTCAAAAGATCGAAGTGATCGCCATATCATTGGTTATAATAAAAATAGAGGCAAAAATAAATTAGCTATATCTACCGCAATTTAAACTGTCCAAGACACTGAAATCCTTTATAGGGTTATGTATTAAATGCTATAATAAAGTACCAAAAGTTTTGTAATTAGTATAATGCGTCAAGCGTGACTTTGCATTTTTTTCACATATGCGTACAGTATTGGAATATGTATCAGAGACATTGTAGAACATACTTTTTTCAAAAAGAGTAACGAATGGAGTCTCTTGCTCGTTCTTCTCCATTCGAATCTACATTTTGAATGAGCACCTAGCTTCACCTAGCTTCTCTGACGGACTGACAGACTATTATTTATTTTGTATTTGTTGACGCTTCAAAAGTACCAAATTAAGGTTTAATTGAAATAAATGCTTTGACTTTGACTTTATAAGGATAATCTCAACCATGAGTGAAAGAAAGATACAGATTCCGCCCCATATCCGTATGTAAAGTGGAATCTACTAATGAAGCAGATATTGCCAACCGATTGAGCTGAAATTTTGTATACAGTATGTTTAGTTTGCATATCAAAGTTAGTCGCGAGCTTTAAGTGTACCTGTCTAAATAAATTGATTGATTTTCTAGTTGCTTCTAAGACTTGCATGCTGATACCTGACACTGGTCCATGTCGTAGTAGAATAAAGATGTGGTATTTCAACCCTGATGCGAAAGAGTGTTCAGAGTTCGAATGGGGAGGCTGTCAAGGAAATGGTAACAGGTTCGAAACGAAGGAAGAATGTTGGGATTTTTGCATGAGTAAGCCTGGAAGTAAGTATGCATAATACATTACATAACGTCACGCCTTTTATACCCGAAGAGGTAGGCAGAGGTGCACATTACAGCACTTAATACCACTGTACAATGTAACACCCACATTTCACTATTTATGTTATGAGTCCCATGTAATAGGTGGTGAGACTATTACCATATACCGGGCACAATTCCAGACTTCGTGCTACTACTGGGAAATATTTGAAAAAACTCAGTAATACTTTGCCCAAACCGGGAATCGAACTCGAGACTCCTTTACCCGGCCGTCGCACTTGCGACCACTCGGCCAACAAGGCAAAGGCAACAAGCAGATTTTTTGTCTCAATTTTGCACCCAGTTTTTCTACTTAAGTTATGAGTCCCACGTAATAGGGGGTCTATTGCAAAACATTATAAATATAATTGCAAACTTCGAACTATTACTGAATAAAAATTCTGATACTGAATCCGCTCTAGCCCTGGGCATAGGTTGCGGTCACTCAACAAGCCCGTTTTTACTCTACATTTTAAAATGTATAGATTTCATATATATTATTTACAATATGTATAATTATTTGAGTATATTTCATTTAAAGTTAGACTTTATATTTAATCAGTTTAAAGTACTAATTACTACAACACTTGCCCAACTTAGAACGTCGTCCAAGATACTGCAGCCTGGCTTTTGATTATGGTTTCTGTTTTGGAGCATCAGAGAGGTTCTATTACGACTCTAAATGGAAAGTCTGCAAGTCGGGCCTCTATTCTGGTTGTGGTGGAAATAAGAACAACTTCTACAGTAGGGAACAGGTATGTGACAGACAAAAATCATTATTATATTAATAAGTCTAAGAATGTTAATTACTGAGCGAAATCTCCCACAAGGAGACAGGGGCTAAAATTGTAAAGGTTAAATGGTATATAGTTGTCTCATTGTCTAACAAAAAACGAAAAAAAAGATAGGCTTGTACTCGTTGCCATAAAGCGGGGGCCCTATACTACCTGCGTATCACGTCAGCTAGATATAGGGCAGCTTGGTATCCGCATTTAAACTTGAAACTTATAAATTTATTATTTTAAACAAACTAATCTAATTTTACATACAAATCTAAGATTTAAACTTCATTTTATTTTCTATTTATCTAACAGTGTGACCAAATATGTCGCTATGGGAATATGGACGCAGTTCAGAAAACATCAACAACTGGTGGTGGTAAGAAGGTTATCATCATCAATCCGGTGATTACGAATCCACCACGAAGCGGCCAACAAGCTGTAGATGTCAACAATGCAACTACGGTAGCACCAAAAAACACGGAATAGCATCAGCATTAAAAAAACTACAACTATCCAACTTATTTGGTACTTTTAATTATTATTTGTTACATCATAAATAGCACGGGGGTATAAGATGTCGTTTGTAATGCATGAGTATACGGGTTTAACCCATCGTGTGTCTAAACGTGGATCCACGCTAGACACAATTTATTTTCTACTAGCTTTTACCCGCGGCTTCGCTCACGTCACAAAAGGATAAAAAGTAGCCTATGTGACATATACCAATACATACAGCGCCATCTATACCAATACATTTGTTTTACCTCGGGAATATCAAAATTTTCCGGGATAAAAAGTACCCTATTATTTAATCCGGACTTCTAACTTTACGTCTGCAAAAATTCAAAGCAATTTGTTTAGTAGTTACAGCGTGAAAGCGGAACAAACAAACAAACAAACTCACTTTCCGATTTATAATATTAATAATTAGTAAGGATTGTCTCATATACAGGCATTCAAACGGTTAAAACCAACGGCAAGTGCCAATGTGACTTTTTCCAAGTTATATGTACTTTCTAAGATTATTTAGACACCACTGACAATTGACCAAGAAAAACATTTTAAGGAAACCTGGGCTTAAAATATCTAATTATAAGTTCAAAATTACCAACCGGCATTGAGCAAGCGTGGTGATTAATGCTCAAAATTTATCCGTGCATGAAGAGGCCTCAGGCCTTTTTCAGCAGTGGACACTTATAGGCTGTTGATATGAATTATCCACGAATAAGCCGTAGGTTTCTAGAGACTCAATGTTCCCCTAAACGTTCCCATCCACACATTTCTAGCACTTAAAGTCTATGAACAATGCAGTGGTTACCATCAGGTGATCCGTCTTCTAGTTTGCTGCTGTATGTCAATTCTATAAATAAACAAATTGTCATAGTCTATTAACTATACTAGTCCAGCAATGGACCTCTATAAGCTCTATGAAACTTCTGCCACCTTCTATCCCCAGCCGCTCTTATTTTGGCCCTGACATACCAATTAAGTTGGCTGAATGTAGGAATATATTTATAAGTAGTGAATTTCTATTTCAAAAATATACTTTTTCATTATATTGTGACATATTTTTAAGTTTATTGTAATAACGAATATTTATTCAGAGTAAAATGTAGTTCAATTAAATGTTTTTCTGTAGTTAAAATTACATCTCATTTAATGTACCTGGTTAGTTACGTTCACAAAAAGTGGGTGTTACATTGTGCAGTGGCTTTAAGTATACACGCCTACTCCTTCAGGGTTAAAAGGCGTGATGTTATATATTATGTTAAGCTTAAATAAGGGGTGTTGGATTGAAACGAAAACCATCAAGTCCATTTAAAATATGTTTTATTTTTTTTATAAAATTTGATACTCATCACCCGTATAACAAAAAAGGAAATTGTCTATTTATAATATTCTATGTATTGTAATAAATAATTACGTAAAGTACAAATGACAGCTCTTCAAGCTACCCCTATTATTTAATAGATTATCGACGTTATAGGCAAGTTTCAGGGTTGAAAGTTCAATAAAGAATTGTTAAAGTTTTGGGTAAGTTGATACAGCTTTTGCACAACATTGGTAACGTCTTGAATCCTTACTTTTTCTGACTTTTGTTCAGTTTATGCGTTTATACAAAGTTTGTTTGGGTCAAAGCAAGATCAAGTCTTCTATAAACATTATATTTCCTAAAAGAAAACCATTTCCGTAAAAACCCGTTATTTTAATTTCATACATCAAACACTATTAACCATTTTCTTACAAAATAGGTAACAATTTTTGCGTACAATGATTCGTTTGTTTTCGAAATACTAAAATTATTTTTATTACCACGAAATAAAAATGTAATTTTACTGTAACAGTAGGCACTGCACATGCGGTTTCTTATGACACTTTCTTATAAGACACTAAGAACAGACGTGTCCCTTCGTCCAGCATACTCACCATGGAATCCTGATATTTCATGAATGTCAAAAAACTGTTCTGAAATAGTGCTAAATAGTGCCCAAAGGAAAAAAATAGTGCTCTTGTACTTGCGAAGTTATAGCCATAGTTCGATGAGTATGCTGGACGAAGGTTTCGCCCAGCATACTCACCTCCGTCCGGAGAATCTGTATACGCTTCAAACATAAATCATACTTCAAAAAATAGTTCCCAAATAGTGCCAAACGGTGCCCAAAAAGAAAAAACAGTGCTCGAATAACTTCGGAGTTATAGGCTTCGTTCAGTGAGTATGCTGGGCGTAGGTTCTACGCCCAGCATACTCACCTCAGTGCGCGAATATCGAACGAGCTATAGGTACAATTTACGTCTCAAAAAATTGTGCTTGAAATAGTGCCCAATATCAGTCCAATTTTTGCTTGACTTTTGAC